GAGAAATGTTTGTTTTGTCTGGTAGAAAAGATGACCTTCCATAGTTTATTACCCAGCAGGATTTTAACCAGTTTTGCATATTTTAACAGATTCATTTCAGCATTGCCTTGAAGGGATAGAATCTTAATTCTTCAAAACACCACTTCTAATAGCTTCCTATTTCCCTCATGAATGAACAAATTGAACAAAACCACTGATTTGAGTTCATCTTATAGTTGTAGGAGAGTTTTTAATTTTTTAGAAAATTCTAATGTGGCCCTCCTTGCTGGTGCAATGTGTTAAAGTTCAATACTGCAAAGATTTCTGTAGCTGCTTCAGCACAAGTTCGAGTCCCAGCCAGGGAGCCGACCCCACTTGGCACGGCAGACCTCTCCGGTCATGCTGGCTGCTCCCCTCAGCAGTGTACTTTGTCAATCTGCCTGTTCTGCTCCCCCACCCTGTCTCTGCTGAATCCTCTCACCACCCCTGCACCTCTGGCCTGTACCCCAGTTCTGTATGCATAAATAAATAAAATCTTTAAAAAAAAAAAAAAGAAAATTCTAACCTGCCTACAAGGTTGTCACATCTCCATGTATTGGTTTGGAGTCAGCAGGGTAAGAGGAGGCTGAGGAGGTAAGAGCTGGTGGTGGGGGGCGGGGTGGGGGGAGTGTGTGAGGGAGGAAACCCTGGGGACCCTCCCTAAGGGGAGGGGCTTGGTGGGTCCAGATTTCTTTGTCACTATTGGGATTTGTGACCTGGAGCTTTCTGGTGGAAGGAGGCTGCTTTGGCGGGGGTGGGTGGTGGTTGGTTAAGCTGGTGGCTCCAGACACTTGTCCCTGTCCCCAAGCTTCCTTGCTCCTGGCAGGTGCCCCAGGTAGACGTGGTCTCCTGGTGAATCACCACCCTTAGGGGTGGCTGCGGGTCTAGGGAGACTTGTCCTGTTCTCTGTAGGGATACTCGTGAATTCCCAAAACGCTGGGTTCTGTGTCTGCACACCACACACTGCCCAGGCGGAGCTCCCCCTGGTAAGGAGGATTCTCTATGCTGCCTCTAGAGGGAAGCCCCTCCCGCACCCTCCCTCCAGCTAGAAAACACACAGCGCGGGGCAGGGAGGAGGCCCCGAGCTGAGTCCACTGTGTACTTCGCCTCGCCCCTTAAAAGACAAGTGTTGCTGCGGTTTTGTGCACCCAAGTTAGGCTCACCCCAATTTTTCTTCACTGTTCAAACCACCATTACGATTCCAACTGTGGAATCACTGTGGGGTGGAGAAAGTGTGGGGCTGGCCATGGAGCCAACAGGCTCTGTGCTGCTCCGGGGAAGCTGTGCCCAGGGGAAGCTGGGCCCCTGGGAAGCTGCTGGGGGCCACTGGGCGCCACCCCACCGTTCTGCAGCTTGGGTGCTCCCTGACTCAGGAGAGAGTCCCTCCTGGGAACCCCCAACCCCCAAGAGCACTGTCCCCTCCCAGGAGACCGGAGAGCCGGGAGGTCCCACAACAGAGATTCCCAGTCCCAGATAGGCCCCTCGTCCGTCCGTCTGAAAGGCTGGACAGCCCCGGAGGGAGTGGAAGAGCCAGACCCAGAACTCCCTCTCCCCTTAAGCTGAGAACTCTTGGTCTAGCTCACACATCCATCGCTGGGCCTGGTACTGCCCAGGAAAACCACCTTTGTACCCACTTCTTAAGGTCTTTCAGTTTCATTTAGAAGTAAACGGTGGCACGTCTAACCTTGACTTTGAGCTACTTGATTGAGGTTGGGGAAAGAACTTGGGTTTTCCCGTGGGGCCCTCGAGGAAGCCAGGCGGCTGCTGGAGAGGGTTGTGCAGGGACCCTGCAACTTTCTGGCAGAGGAAAGGGGGTACGAAAGGTTTAGGACTTTAAAATGCAAGTTCCAAATCGTTTCGACTGCTAAAATTAGAATAAAGATGGCCCCGTCTAGAGCCTCCCCTTTCCTTCTGCTCTCCGAGCCCCAAGTGTGCACGCCCACACCTGGCAAACACTGCAGCCGGTTTCTCGGGGACCCCCGGCACCTGTCGCCTTTTGGGGAGGTTTTGTGACCGCGACCCAGACAGCGGGTGGCCCGGACGGCCGGGGAGGGGGAGCCCCTTGCAGGGGCGCGGGAGGAGGGTACCGGCCCCCCGGGCTCGCGGCCGGCCGGGAGCTCAGGGACCCCGCGGCGTCCTC